GCACCCTCACATATGGTGCAAGTGTGGTGCTTGCACAATTCTATATGGGGCGTGTATGGTGGTTGCACCATCCCATATGGGCATGCAAGGTACTTGCACCAGCCCAGATGGGCCATGTATGGTGCTTACACAAGCCCAGATGGGCCATGTATGCTGCTTACACCAGCACATATGGGCATGTATGGTACTTGCACTAGCCTATATGAGACATGTATGGTGCTTACACCAGCCCATATGCCGCACTTACAGTGCTTGCACCATCACATACCGTATAGGTATGTATGGTTGTTGCACCAGCAAATATGGTGAATGTATGGTGCGTGCACCAGCCCATATGGGGCATATTTAGTGCATGCAGTAGCCGATATGGGGCATGTATGGTGCTAGCACCATCCCATATGGGCCATGTTTGGTGCTCGCACCATCCAATATGGGGCATGCATGGTGCTTGCACCAGCCTGTATGGGACATGCATGGTAGTTGCACCACCATCCTATATGGGGCATGTATGGTTCTTGCACAATCCCATATGAGGCATGTGTGCTGCATATGCCAGCCCATATGAGGCATATATGGTTGTTGCAGCATCCCAAAATGGGGCATGTAAGGTGTTTCATCCATCCCACAGGTATGGTGCACATATGGTGACAGCACAAACACATATGTGACATGTATGGTGCTTGCACCATCCCATACGGTGCGTATATGGTGCTTGCACCATCCCATATGGTGCATATGTGGTGCTTGCACCATCCCATATGGTGCATATGTGGTGCTTGCACCATCCCATATGGTGCATATATGGTGCTTGCACCATCCCATATGGTGCATATGTGGTGCTTGCACCATCCCATATGGTGCATGTATGGTGAACGCATGGTGCTTGCAGCTTCCCATATGGTGCATATATGGTGTTTGCACCATCCCTTAAGGGGCATATGGTGTGGTTTCACCGTCCAATATGGGGCATGTATGGTGCTTGCACCATCCTATACGGGGCATGTATGGCTGCACCATCCCATATGGGGCATGTTGTCAGAATATTATGCTCTAGCCTGTAGTGGGGTGCTCTGTAGCGAGTACAACCCTTCTAGGGTTTGCTATTTGTATCCCCATTCTTGCTAGTTCAGTCCTCTTTTGCCTTCATTCTCTCTTGCCTAGCTAGGTCAACCCTAGCTATGGCTCCTCAGTATACCTACTATTACGACATGGTATCAGAGCTTAACGTTCCTGGCCTGTGGGCCCACTTCACTGCTTCCGCTGCTACTGCTACTCCCTGTCCGCCGCGCGCCCCGTGGTGCGCGGCGTCGAAACTAGGGTTTTCAGCCCGCCGTGCGCCCCGAGGCGCGCGGCGGTTTTCTGCCCGCCGTGCGCCCCGAGGCGCGCGGCGGTTCTCTGCCCGCCGTGTGCCCCGAGGCGCGCGACGGGTTCCTGCCCCGTCACTCGGCACGTCGCCCCCGGGAGGCGCTGCGACGGGCGACGGGGACCCGCGCGTCGCCCCCCGTCGCCCGTCGTGGCCTGCACGCGGCCCGTACACCCGGCACGCGGCCCGTACGGGCTGCGCCAGGCCTGCGCGCGGCCCGTACGGGCTGCGCCAGGCCCGCGCGCGGCCCGTACGGGCTGCGCCAGGCCCGCGCGCGGCCCGTACGGGCTGCGCCAGGCCCGCGCGCGGCCCGTACGGGCTGCGCCAGGCACGCGCGCGGCCCGTACGGGCTGCGCCAGGCCCGCGCGCGGCTCGGACCGCCTGCGCGCGGTTCGGGAGGCGGTGCCAGGCCCGTGGGCGGCCCGTTCTTCGCTTCCCCTGTCCTCCCCGCTGTCCCCCGTGCTTCTGAAGGCGCCCCACCCCTCCTTCTGCCCGTTCTCCTGGATTAGGGTTTGGGGTGGGGGGTATGGGGGTGCAGCTTCAGTGTGCCGTTCCCTGCTCCTCCTCCTCCCTCGTCTCCCTCTGCTACAGCTGCCGCTGAGGGGGGTGGTGTGTGGGAGCCTAGGGTTTGGGGTCTAAGGGGGGTACCGTCGGAGTGGAGCTAGGGTTTGAAGCAGGGGGTGTGTGTCGAGGGGTGTGGGACAGTTGGAGGAGGTTGAGCGGAGGCTGCCGTCTTGTCGTCAGCAGCACCTGTAGTCCGGGGCGCTTGTTCCGGTAGCCCAGTCGTAGCCAGCTGCGCCAGTCGCCCGTGGGTCCGTTGCTCGTCTGCCGCTCTTCTTAGCCGCGGAGCCAGTTACTCCTGTAGTCCGGGGCGCTTGTTCCGGTAGCCACTGAGCCAGTTTGACTCCTGTTGCCCGTGTGTCTGCAGCTTCAGCCGACGCCTCTTATCTCCTCTCCACCTACAGTCTCGCCTCCTCCTCCTCACTTGACCCCTTGTGACTGCCTCTAGCTTTGCTCATAATTGTGAACCTTAAACTATTGCTTCTTGCTTGTGCTCAGAATGAGTGGTGACATCGTGATCCACCCTGAGCTTGTACTGCTTTGTTTCCTCTGCTGATTACACCCCACTTTGGCTATGGGGGTGTGTCAGAATATTATGCTCTAGCCTGTAGTGGGGTGCTCTGTAGCGAGTACAACCCTTCTAGGGTTTGCTATTTGTATCCCCATTCTTGCTAGTTCAGTCCTCTTTTGCCTTCATTCTCTCTTGCCTAGCTAGGTCAACCCTAGCTATGGCTCCTCAGTATACCTACTATTACGACACATGTATGGTGCTTGCACCATCCCATATGGGGCATGTATGTTGGTTGCACCATCCCATATGGGGCATGTATGGTGGTTGCATTTGTTTGTATGGGATATACATGGTGCTCACACGAGCCAACTTCTAGCTCCTGCACCAACCCTGATTGAGTGCGCTTGGTGCCTGCACATTGTTTTTTTTGCTATTTTGGAGCGGAAATTTCACCAGTCTATATTGGCAATGCATAGTCTTACCGCAGCACAATCGACAAGAAGTATGGATGGTAAACCGAGAATTGGGGCCATGGATGGTACTTACAGCATGCCATATGGGGCAGAGTGCTGGTTCCATGCAATATGGCACATGGTGCTTGGACCTGCACATCTGGAGCATGGTACTCGCACCAGCCCATTCGATTCATGATGGATTGTCCGTGAAACAGCCCACAAGAGGCATGCAACGTGGGTATGATACTTGGACCAGCACATGTGATGCATAGTGTTTGTACCATCCCACGTGGTGCATATGGCAGCCACCACGCAATATGGTGAGAGAGGTGCTTCGACAAGCCAACATGGGACACACATGGTGTTTGGCGCCCATGTGGTGAACGGAGCTTGCACCAGCAAGTGTGGTGCATGTAGCTTGCACAAGCAAGTGTGGTGAATGGAGCTTGCACCAGCAAATGGGGTGCATGAGCTTGCACCAGCAAATGAGGTGCATGGAGCTTGCACCAGCAAATGGGGTGCATGGAGCTTGCACCAGCAAATGAGGTGCATGGAGCTTGCACCAGCAAATGGGGTGCATGGAGCTTGCACCAGCAAGTGTGGTGCATGTGAGCTTGCACCAGCAAGTGTGGTGCATGGAGCTTGCACCAGCATGTGTGGTGCATGGAGCTTGCACCAGCAAATGTGGTGCATGGAGCTTGCACCAGCAAGTGTGGTGCATGGAGCTTTCACCAGCAAATGTGGTGCATGGAGCTTGCACCAGCAAGTGTGGTGCATGTGAGCTTGCACCAGCAAATGTGGTGCATGGAGCTTGCACCAGCAAGTGTGGTGCATGGAGCTTGCACCAGCAAATGTGGTGCATGGAGCTTGCACCAGCAAATGGGGTGCATGGAGCTTGCACCAGCAAATGGGGTGCATGGAGATTGCACCAGCAAATGTGGTGCATGGAGCTTGCACCAGCAAATGAGGTGCATGGAGCTTGCACCCTGACTATGCCTCCCAAACCACCCTGATCGGCATGTACTCCCATGGTTCATTATCTGGTAAATGCCTTTCTCCCTCTTTTCTTCCCTCCCCATCCATTCTCCCTCATCTTCACCTAGCCAACACTTGACCCCCATACCAGCTGCTTCCTCTCTTATTACACCTTCCATCATAATATCATCCTCCTGTTCTGTCACTCACTTACCAAAGCAACTATATCTCTCTCGATCTTCTCCCCATCCTCCCCCCATCCCCCTTTCCTTTTCCTTCTATCTAACTCTCCCCGCAGCGACAGCAGCGGCACCAATGACTGCCAGAACCATTCCCTTCACAATCCCCGCGTTTGCTTCAGTAGGAGGGGCCAGATCTGGATGAAATGGCAGTGCTGGTGGCAGATGAGGGGCCATTATCGATGATGGTGGTGGTAATTGTGGTGGTGATGGTACTAGTGCCTGTAGGGTTGGAGAGAGGGTAGAGGGAAGGAGTTGCAATGGTGGGGGGCGTGTATCCAGGGTTGTAAGTTTCAGGCAGGGGGGGGGATTCATATGATATAGCTTCGTACGGGAGAGCTTTGGACGGGGAAGCTTTGAACGAAATAGCAGCAGAGGATGGAGCTGCATACTTAGAAACAGTAGAAGGGAGAGGGATAATTTTGGTTCCCTTTTGACAGCATGGTCATAGACAGGCAGCAAGTTTCAAAAGCTCCTGAGTAACTTTGTCCCTATGCCAACTGCTTGTACTCATTGCCTTGATCTTGCTTGTGTTAAAAATATGTCAGAGTTTTTTGCTTAAACAGAGTTTGAAATCAGAAGTACAGCTACTAGAAAAAGGAAACAATCTATGTATAATATATATACACACATACATGTAATCTGAGAAAAAAATACATCACCACATACCAAAATGCCCTCCTACATCTATTCAACACCAAAAAACTGACTGGATTCAGAATCCCACATCATGAGTTGCACCCATCCCATGGGCTGGCTGGCCAACCCATACATGCCCCAGCTTCTTCAAGTAGGCTTATTCGACCAAGAACCTTGCACAATGCACTTACCAAAAAGGTGCGTTAACGTGGAATGAGAGGTTGTAAGCCTGTAAGTATACCATTTGTGAGCTAATTCTACACCTTATCAGCAACACCTGGCTGGTAACAAGCATTGGCAGCCTCAGCAGGCTTGTACGGATCTCCTGCTGTGTATGCTCCCATGGCTGGATATCCTGCTGCTGCTGAGGGGTATTCCACCTCAATGGCTGGAAAAGGTGAATAAGGTACGAAAATAAGGTAAATTGGGAAAACCAAAGTGTGTAGATGATAGCGTGAAGGAGAACAAATGGATTGGCGGAGAAAAGCATGCAAGATTGAGGAGGATGCTGGTCGGGTGAATTATACGAGGCAACCATTGTTGCAACTCATAAAAGCTGATGGTTTTAACTGTTTCTTCGATTGGGAATGAGGGGAAAGGGGAGAGAAAAGAAGAAGGGGTGAAAGAGCAGCACGCAAGGGCTCAAATAGTTATGAAGGTATTGTTCGCTGATGCATCTTAACGAGTTGACTTTCGAGTCGACTCAAGAATCACTTCAGAAGTTGTTATGAAGGCGTCTCCCACTGATAGTCTCACCTTCAGTCTTCTTGCAACATTTAATGACAATGAATGCAACAGCAACGGCACCAATGACCGCAAGAATCATCCCCACCACAATCCCCACGATCGCTGCAGTAGAGGGGCCGGTGGAGGATGAAATGGCAGTGCTGCTGGCAGAAGAGGAACCATTATCAATGATGGTGGTGCTGGTACTAGTGCCCGGGGATGCAGTGTTAGAGGGAGGGTAGAGGGAAGGAGGTGCAAGGGACGGGGGTGTGTATCCACTGTTGTTAGTTTCATCTGGGGGGGATTCGGATGGGTGAGCTTCGGACATTATGGCTTCGGATGATGGTGCTGCACGCATGAGAAACATGAGAAGGGAGAGGAAGAAGAAAACACGGGATTTCAACAAATGGCGGATTCGAAATTTCCCAAGTAAGCTTAGCTTATGTGGACGGATCTCAGTAAGCGACATATGGCACAGCGGGAGAGCATGGAGAATTGGGACTGGTGTAAGGAGTGGCAGGCGGTGCAGAATTGACTCTGTGAAATAAAGACTATTGTGAGTCGTCTCAAAACAAACTTACTCTCAGAAGGACAGTTCAACCTGGAGGAGGGGGGTTGCAGGACTGGCAGAAGGAGTGGCAGGCGATGCAGAACTGGCTCTCTAGTGACTGCTGCACCACACAATCAGTGCTGTTGGGACACATCACTGTGTAGTCATACTTCCTGGTGGGGAATGCGAGTGGAGGATTACAAGAGGACGTGTGTGAAGTAACAGTTGCTCTAACTGGTTCCACAGTGCAAAAGTGGTTGGTTCTCCAGTGACTGCTGCACCACACAGTCGGTTCTGTTGGGACACAGCATTGTGACGTGTGTGAACTTACAATCTCGACAAAAAAAATACGCAAATGGACTTAATAGGCAAGATGGGTCAGAAGCGGAGCAGCTGTTTCTTCAGAATGCTTTTACGCGCCTTTCTTGTGCACAAGGGTTGTGCGGAGCAACATAAGTCTGTTGCGACTTCTGACTCTAGAAGGATCTCTTGTGACAAGACCTATGGTGCAGCAGAACGAGAGCAACAGTAACCCCAGAAATACACATGGCCAGCAGTACAATATTGTGTACGGCAAAAAAAAAGGGGGGGAGGGGGGAGGGGAGAAGCGGGGGGGGGGGGGGGGGGGGGGGGGGGGGGGGGGAGAGGTCTCCTTCACCGTTCACTTTTGAGACGTCGCAAAAGGCAATTTTATTCACACACGATCACTGAGATAGTTTCTTACTGCGCCAAGGGTGAAATTTGAGTCGACTAAGAAATCGTCCACTAGACTTCAAGCATGAGTGATTCCCTTCAAGGTAGATTCTTACAGTTCACCGAGGTCAACTGCGCCAAGGGTGGGCGGCAGGTAACCCGTGAGGTAGTTTCCTTTGATGCCACTGCATGTTGGGTGGATGGCATGTGATGGCATGTAGTGGCATGGAATGGCATGTGAACGGCATGTGAATGGGATGTAAGAAGAAGAAAAAAAGGGTTGAAGTGTGGATGACACATGGGTAGAATGGGTGGCAGTGTGATTGTGTCAGGTTCAAGCTTCCAAGAATTGTATGATATGTAGGACGATCATTCCTTATTGTTGTAGGTGGAATGTGAAAATCATCAAAAGTAACCTACTATAATGTGGCTGTGTATGATTTATGCCTAGAAGAATGGCCCGATAAATATGCCGAGCATTGAGCAGAAAGTCGTGGTTCAGCATATGCATGTATTGGTTCAGCCATATGCATGTATTGGTTCAGCCATATGCATGTATTGGTTCAGCCATATGCATGTATTGGTTCAGCCATATGCATGTATTGGTTCAGCCATATGCATGTATTGGTTCAGCCATATGCATGTATTGGTTCAGCCATATGCATGTATTGGTTCAGCCATATGCATGTATTAATTCAGCCACATGCATGTATTGGTTCAGCCATATGCATGTATTGGTTCAGCCATATGCATGTATTGGTTCAGCCATATGCATGTATTGGTTCAGCCATATGCATGTATTGGTTCAGCCATATGCATGTATTGGTTCAGCCATATGCATGTATTGGTTCAGCCATATGCATGTATTGGTTCAGCCATATGCATGTATTAATTCAGCCACATGCATGTATTGGTTCAGCCATATGCATGTATTGGTTCAGCCATATGCATGTATTGGTTCAGCCATATGCATGTATTGGTTCAGCCATATGCATGTATTGGTTCAGCCATATGCATGTATTGGTTCAGCCATATGCATGTATTGGTTCAGCCATATGCATGTATTGGTTCAGCCATATGCATGTATTGGTTCAGCCATATGCATGTATTGGTTCAGCCATATGCATGTATTGGTTCAGCCATATGCATGTATTGGTTCAGCCATATGCATGTATTAATTCAGCCACATGCATGTATTGGTTCAGCCATATGCATGTATTGGTTCAGCCATATGCATGTATTGGTTCAGCCATATGCATGTATTGGTTCAGCCATATGCATGTACACGCACAGAAAGGTAAGGAGAGGGAGTTCTCCCAAGAATGCCGGCACTGATCCCACCAGGTTGTTGTAACTAAGGCTCCTGTTTGCTCGCATGTGGTTGGTACGTATGCACATGTGATTGATGGGAGAAGGGATGGTAATGGAAGGTCATGCCATGAGATTGAACGAAAGGTAAGGAGGGGGGGTTTCCAAAGGAAGGTCGGCACAGATCCCACCAGCTTCTGTTGCTCGCATGTCATTGCATGGTAGGACAAGCAATGGATGGTGAGGTAGGGCAAGGCATGGATGGTGAGGTACGGCAAGCCATGGATGGTGTGGTCACAAAAGTAAACAAACGAAAGGTCAGGACACTGTCCGTCCATTTCATGCCAAGGTCATGAGTTGCTGAGGGAAGGCGGAAAGCCATTGACATATGATGGATGCATCTAGTAATGGCATTGACACATGATGGTTGCGACTAGTAATGGCATTGACACATGATGGGTGCAACTAGTCAACAACACCGCATGAACCACCTCTAATCGATAATCAGAAATACCATTTGGGCATCAGGTAGCATTGGGAAGACTTTTGAGTTGACTGTCACGTGGAACTCACAGCAGTTTAAGCCCAGTAAGGGCACTTATCCCTTCAGGAATGGAGCCGTTGATCTGTGAGTTGTAGAAGCTTCTGATGGGGGGTTCGTGCGACCAAGCAAGGGGTGCAGATAGGTGCAGATGTTTTTTGCTCGACTCAACAGTCAGAAGGAATGGAGCCATTGATCTGTAAGCTGTACAAGCTTCTGATGCCTCAAGTCATGCCATCAAACAAGGGGTGAAGATGGGTGAGGAGGGGCACTCTGGTGGGTTGAAAGAGGCATGGTGCATGGGCCACACTCAATGGACGGCACATGGTCAAGTCAAGGCAGTCCATGAGACATCATGCTCGGGGGCGAGAGTGGTTTGCAGAAGGCTGACAGCTCTACGAGGTTGGTGAGCCCAGAGATGGTGCTGGGAATGGTGTTGCCCGTGCGGTTGTTGTTCTTCAAATTGCTGGTTTGGGGTGAGGGAATGGCAGTTCGTGTCAGAGGAAGGAGGAGAGTGTGAGGGCAAACGCATGTGTGTATATATTCACGCGTGCAACATACCATCACATGGCACAATCCATCACATGCATCACACCATTACGTGCATCATATGACATGCATCATACCATGACATGCACCATTCCATCAAATGCACCATTCCATCACGTGCACCATTCATCATAAGAAGTAAAACCTTCCCTCAAATCGCAGAACTGCTTACAAGACCCGAAGGCTCGTTAGGTTCCCAATGCCATCTGTAAGCGGCCCAATCTCATTACCGTCCAGCCACCTGCAGGGTGCGTCGTTTAGCAGGTGGGCAATTTGTACCCTTATCAAGGCGTGTCACAAGCAGGCTTCTTACAGCTCAGTGAGGTTGCGGAAGTTGGAAAAAGAGCCCGGGATGGAACCAGTACGTTCGCTTACAACAAATTGCACAGTAATTGGCACAAGGGGTGCGTAAAAAGTAGATAGCTCACAGCTCTGTGAGGTTGCGGAGATTGGATAAAGAGTCAGGGATGGACCCAGTGAGCTTGAAGTTCTTTCGATCCCCAAAAATGTCCCTGGACCAAAGGAGAAACGATAGTGATTTTGTTAAAAGCCTTTCAATGTTTCGACTCAAGAAGCCCTCACAGATACAGCCAGCATGAGAAGGCCAAACAGGGAGTGCCGACATCAGAGTGCCTAACAGTTACAGCTGCCATGAGAGGGTGTCGCAGGGAACGCTGGCAGTGCAAGGCCTTACAGGTGTTGCAGGCTTGACATGTTGCCAAAGGAATTGGGAATGCTGCCATTTTCCACGCCTCCGCCGATCTTCCTGTGGGGGTAGTGGCATGGTCGGGTGAGGAGAAGCACACATAAAAGAGTAGCGGGTTTCAATGTGAGGATAAGCAGTTGGGAAGAATGATAAGTTGATAACGTGTCAGAGCAGCGAGCATGAA